TTCCTCCGTTGCCAAGCTTCTTCTCACACTTGTACTCCTACGGTATTCGGCTGGAAGATATCCTGCTTCTCCACCAAATTGTCGAGGTCTTCCTCTAATCGGGGTCGTGAGTATCTTGGGCCGACGTAGGAGGTAGTAGTATTAGCGACACTACTGGGATCGTAATGTAAAAGTTAACATATTCGTGTGTTGTTTGTTAGAAGGAAATCCACGACTAACCTCCTCATTTCACCTTGCTAACTGTTTTAAAGGTCCTTGCCTTTCAGCAGATCCCTCGTGTGTGGTGGTCCAGCCCCAATTCCCGCCACGACCGGCTGCTTCGCAACCTCACACTTGGAACGTCACTGTCTTGGCCGCAGGTCCCGCTTGCTTGGACGTGGTCCGGAGAGTCTGGAGCGAGTAGACCTTCTGCAGGCAGTCAGCCAGCATCGTTAATCCACCATCTAACTGTACACCGTGACACAACGCACAGTTCTGGCACTAGGCTACCGGAAACTGCATTTTGTGCTGCTACCATTGAGTCCAACGCTACATCCACCACAACTCCATCCAAGCTTTATACCACAGAGCAGTATAAACCCTTTTTGACTTACATAAACTAAAAAGTAATATTTTGTTATTATTAAAATAGTTTGCAGTTCTCGTAAATGATGAGAGGTCAGCACGGGTACTGTATATGTAGTTAAATCGGGTGCCTAATGAATTTGATACGTCACCCTGTGAACGACGAAACATGAATTTGAGATATACGCACTCTCGACCGATGCTTGTCTGGCTTGCGTTATCGTGTAAATGACTCTGCCGACCAAGGCTTCAATCGGGAGTGCATCTCCACCTTCGATCTGGATTTCTGCGCCTACGTAGTGCATTTATTTGCGGACTTCAAGCCCGCTCCTGTATATAGCGGGAAGAGAAGCTTGGATCGCGCTACAACTTGCAGCGCAAGCTGTCCTTGTTCCAGACGGAGATTTGATGTGCAGGTGCTGAGACTTGCGTTCAATATGTCAAATCAGATTAGCTCCGTGTCTGTGCAGCGCTACGTTTGACGATCTTTGAGTAGGGCTCCTCCCAATCGAAGCGTCATTCCACAGGCTCCTGCGTCGCGCGCACATCGAACCCTCCATGCGCGCTCTAACCGGACTTTATTTGTCCACGGCCTGCTGCCTATTCAGCCAAACACTCGCTTGGGATCAAAAACCCGACGGCTACGAGGTGATCGACGGTCCCGATGGCCCCGAGTCCGTGGACGCATGGCGTCGTAACTGGACCGCCTGGAAGAAAATGGAGCTGATCACCAACCGGTACAACCCGAACGACTCGTTCAACGTGTACAACATCCAGCAAACTCAATGGACGCAGCAGAATTCCGTGCAGACGTTTATTATGATGAACGACCGCTCCATCTATGATCGCGAGACCAAGCAATACACGGTCGACAAGGACGTGGATGAGATGCAGAGTCGTGTTGGCCCCATTGACAGTGTGTTGATCTGGCCTGCATACCCGAACATCGGTGTGGGACAACCGGAACCAATGGGATCTCCTACGAGACCTCCCCGGTGGAGTCGAGGGCGTCAAGGGCGTCATCGCTGACTTCCATCGTCGAGGTGTCCGTGTGATCATCCCGTACAATCCATGGGATATTGGAGCTCGTGACGAGTCTGGACTGGTAGAAATGGTACGCATGTACAACGCCGACATCACGACACTAACGGAGACGACCCCTGAGCTACTAGCGGACGGCTTCAACGGTGACACCATGTACGGCGTTCCCAAGTCCTTCTACAACTGTAGTAACCCTTTAGTGGCAGCTCCCGAAGGTGGTGTACCCACTGCATATCTGAGCCATAACCCGATGAGTTGGGGGTACTTCTTCGGGTATTCTCATTTCCCACCCGTGGCACGTGCCAAGTTCCTGGAGTCGAGACATATGGTGCAGATCTGTGCGCGTTGGTCTCTCGATCGAACCGCCGAGTTGCTGACTGCTTTCTTCAATGGCGCCGGGTACGTGGTGTGGGAGAATGTATGGGGTACCTGGAATGCCATGACCGAGCGTGAAGATGAGACTGCCAAGAGAATGTTTGCCATTCTACGCAAGTTTGGAACTATCGTCTCGACGGGTGCATGGACTCCGTACTACGCCATGAAGAGCGATGGGCTGTTCGCTAGTGCTTTCACTCTGAGCAGTGAGTCGCTTTACACGGTGATCAGTACTGTGCAGAAAGACATGACGTACGAAGTGCCACTCCTTGCTGACCAGGCTGGCGAAGATGTTCGCATCTACGCGTTTATCATGGAGTCGAGCTGAAGAAACGAACGGTACTGTCGTGAAGGTAACTGGAGCCTCGTGCGCTTGGTGCAATCTATGGCACAAAAACCGGCAACGACGTGACCCAGTTTCTCAACGAGATGCAAGCAATGACCACCAAACCCCTAACTAAATACTCGACGGCAAGGAAATTGCTGCAACAGCAGCTTATCCGCAGTAGCAGTAGCAATACCTCGACGTCCTCGGAAAGCTCTCGACGGTATGGTGCGTGTGTCTGGAGCTGCCAACTGGTGGTTCAATGTCAGTGGCGTGCAGATCGAACCCGTGTCGGCCTGGACTCCGAATTTCGCTCAATACGGAACGGGAGTGCAGTTTCCCTGGGAGAATCGTCCATGGAACAACCACTCGACGAGGCTGTTGGTCCAGGATTTTCTGATCGATAAGCGTCCTGTGACCAACGCTCAATATTCGGCCTTCCTCAAGGCCAGTGGCTACAGTTTTAATTCGCTGGACCGCTTTTTGCTGCACTGGGAGAACCGTCAAGGTGCTCCAGCGTCGTGGACTGTGTCTCCTTCCTTGGCACATAGCCCTGTTGTGAATGTTGCTCTAGAGAACGCTCAAGCGTATGCCAAATTTTACAGTAAGCGTCTTCCCCATGACTGGGAATGGCAGTATGTTGCTTCCAACGGTGATAATTACTGTCATACCCGCCTCCGGCTTGCTGAGCAAGCAAGCCAGAGAGCTCGGGTGCAAAGGCTCTGGCTTGCTTGCTCGCAACCAGAGGCCTCACGTCGCTGCTACCGTTGCCTTCAAGGCCAACAGCAGCAGTGACGATGCATTTAGTAGCAATGAACATGCATATAAGAGAAAAGAAAAGTAAAAGAAACAGAGAAAAGAAGAAAACACAACGACACGAGGGTAGGGATACAAAAACAAGTAGACAAGAAGGAAGCCCCTGTGCTCGCCTAGGAGCACATGAAGGCATGTAAGAACTCACTCTTAAATATACCAACTACCCCCAAGCCTCGAGACCAACACCTACAACTACAAGACCTACAATCTCCAAGTGACCTACACTCTCCTGCGACCAACACTCTACAGCCCCAGTCATTACATTTGGTAGCACTTTCGGGGGAGAGGGCTCGTCGCTGTACGACTTCAACATCAAGACCAGGGGAGGCCTTTGATTCGGTTACGTGTCACATCCGTGTGATCATATCGAATTACGTGTTTGTGACTACGTGTTGCCTAAGGGTAATCAAGTCACTTCACAAGCTGACAGTTAGCACTAGCTGGTGGGTGATCGTGGTGTGTTATTACACATCTAGCCCCGGTGAAGGCTTTCTAGCTATAAGTAGTTACCGTTCTTCAATACTGCACTGCTATTAAATTTGAGCAAGTCTCAAACCAGCCGGTATAGTCAGTAGAGTTCTGGTTACCCTAGCAAGGCTAAACGTGTGTGGCCCATAGGGCTAGGGGATGACAAGGGCATCAAAAAAGGTCGTCAAAGACACGAAACTGATCGGCTCATTCCTGCGGCTTGCAGTGAAAGATCCTCGCCGCGCGGACAAAGCTCGTCACGACCTCTACAACTCTATATCCAAATCCAATCGGATTTTAGAGGCTTTGCGTAGAGACATAAAAACGAACTTAGGAGAACGTCCGAAGGAAAAGAAGGCCATCCTCGCTGAATTGGAGGCCACCAAAAAGGAGCTGTTAAAGGCGCAATATCGTGTTTCGGTGTCCGTGCAGACTCGTCTTCGAGAGATTGAGATCCCCGTCCCCGATTGGGTGGAAAAGGAGACCCAAGGCAAGAAACGTCAGCGTTCGACCTCTTCAACGTCATCGACCTCTTAAAAGTCATCAAAGAAGGCCAAGACCTCCAAAAAGGAATAACCCTGCCAAATTAGGAAGTAGCATAGGCTATTTGCTTTAACAGGTTTTCTCTTTATTTTCTTTTAGTCATTGCGTCTAGAAATTATTTTGTTCCAACCGGTATCAAGTATCAAGAACCAAGATTATCAGACATGGCAGACTCGGCCCAGCTTATGCACAGTATGCTAGCGGCCATGGAGAAGCAAACACAACTTATCGACGAGCTGCGTAAGTCAAGGCAGCTGTCGGAGCTCAAGCTGGATGGGATTAAATTGCTCAGCTACGGAGGAACACTCAAGGAATCATTTCAGTTATACCGGGAGCAAGTGGAACAGTACTTTTTAGCAAAGGGCATTGATTGGAAAGATAGTAAATTGAGAGGACGCATTTTGGCAGTGTTGGGCGGGTCGTTGAAGGATGGAGCCGCACAGTGGTACATCGTCAAGAAGGACGAGGTGCAGAGTGTTGAAGACTTCTTTGGCAAGTTGGAGGAAGAGTTTGTCCCTCCAGATTTGCAAGAACGTCTACAAGATCAGATGAACGATATTGAAGGAGCGTCATTGCAAGGACTTGCCTGATTATATCAGCAAGTTCAGGCACTTGATCACTCAAGTCAAGGAAATGAGTGAGCTGGACAAGATCATGTATTTCTTGCGTGGATTGTCGTCAAGTATCCGCGAAGAAGTCCAGTACCGTAGAAGTGCAACGTTGACCGACGCAATTACAGTAGCGCTCGATTATGATCGGTCTCACGCGCATCGAGGACGTTCGGATAGCGCCCGCGATAAACCAAGGTATCGGTCGTACGATAGCAAACGATCGAAGAATCAGAACGATGGACCAGTGCCGATGGAGATCGACAACGTAAGGGTGCCATCAAAGGAAGAGTGCATGCGCCGAAACTTATGTTTCAGGTGCGGTAGTGCCGCACATCGGGCTCGACAATGTCCGATGCAGCAGCAACAGACGTTTGGGGCCAGAAGGAATGCGCCGCGATATAATAAAACACACCGCGGTACAACCGCGCTAATAATGGCCCAATCTCTCGAAAAACCCAAAAATGAAAAATGTTTCTCCAGAGTGAGAACGCAATTGTAAAACC